CATAAGCCCCGACTTATCTGAAGAAAGTTGCACCATTGTCCATTCTGGATTGAATGGGCCTCACATGTTTTTTCTTCAAATCTGAAATGAAGGGGCCTCATTCGACGCAGAATTGAAAAATATCCATCTTTCATTATATGACTTTTGACACTTTTTTCCAAGGTCCTGGAGGTACCGAACACTGAAAAACACAAGTCCAAAACCTCATTTGGCGGCATCAGCCAAGATACTACTAGTCTTAGATAGCAACCAAAGATCCCAGCCGCTTCGCCACGTGAATAGCGCAGCCACGTGAAGAAGCGGTTGGTCACGAGCCTAGTCGTCGGCGTGTGTGCAGTTGTTATGCATCACCACTGCTCGGCAATGAGGTATTCCCGGCCCGGTCCTCTGCTTGCCCGCTTCCCCGACGCCCATTTCCCTTCCAGTCCACAGTCCCCACTGTTTCGTGCTGAGAATGAGATACCTCCCTGGACCTCGATGTGTTGTCTTCGTCTGCGCTCTTTGATACCGCCTAGTCTTCTCCGTTCTTGCTGCCAGCAGTTGGCCAGCAGCCAGCCTCGCTGGCACCCACTGGGTCTGCTCTTTGCTGTAGAGGTCTCTATCTATTTTATCTGTTTACATTGATTTTTCTCAGACTACTTACTACAACACGTCGAGGAGCACCCTTGCTAATCAGGTTCACGCTGCTATATATTGCTTCGCTGGTTCGCCACTCCTCGGTGGATCCGAGTGCCGCCAAGTTTGTGTGTCCATGGCACCAGTCTGCCGCTTTTGTTCTGTACCTTGACTATTTCAAGCATGTTCAAAGTGAGCTCAAACGGTTTGTACACTTCCATGCCGGGAGTCATGTTCGACAGCGATGCGGGGTACTTTAAGCATCCACTGCAGCCTGGCGAACGAAGAAAAAATGAAGGGTCTCAATTCACCATGCCATCGGGAGGAGACAGTCGTGCTCAACGATGGCACAGCTACATACAACTAGGGGCTCTTCCGCAGTGCGGCAGAACAGACCCAGAGTTCAGAGTGGATTCGATAAAGAGTCGGTGCATTTGTACATCGCGTGAGCCAAAGAAGCGGTGGAGAAAAGGTAGTATCACAGTAATCATCATGCCATCGAAGGGAATCGAACCCCATTCCTCCATGCAGCCAATAGAGTCGTTTACCTAAGGGAGTTGAATTCCATGGCTGACGATGGCATGGGCGTTTGCGCGGCGTGGCAGCAGAACAAAGCCCAACTTCTTCATTCCCTGGGAGATGCGAGCCAAGGAGCGGAGCAGTAGGGGCTGCCAACAGTTGCTCACGGAGGGAAGCGTGTGCATTGGCAGAAAAAAACCAGCTATGCTATCGAAGGGAATCGAGCCCTTTGATAACTTGCGGGAGGTGACCGCCACGGTCCACGATGCCTGCCATGTATCGTGCCGTGGGTTGCGTCAAAACGATGGAAGTGGTCCGGTGTCCGACTCGGGTCTTTCGTGCAGACTGTGACTGGACGGGCACTGGGTGCTTAGCCGCGATATCGGGCATAAAGACATGGTTGAGAAATAAAACAGAACTGGCATCCACAGGCCAATTGCGCACGTCAGAAAAAAGATGACCAGGACCAGAAACATGCCTTCACGTGGAATCGAACCACCATATGGTTAGAGCTGCTTTTGAAATCTTTGGGGGCGACCTCCGTGGTCAACGACGGCAATGTGTGCAACCTAAGCTTGCAATACACTGTAGACAAAAAGAAGTCGCCGGTGAGGAGTAAGAACACCAAGGGAGGACGAAAATGCACGGCGTACCGGGTTTTCCATGCTGCAAGATTGCGTCCGGCCCTTACAATGACAATGGCAACACTCCAGGGGTACTTTGGTAGGGTTGTTCGCAAAGGGAGAGAGAGACAAAAAAAAATTGGTCGGTAAGGTCATTGCCATCGAAGGGAATCGAACCTCCGCTTCCTCCGCTCAACAAACGATATAACATTGTTAACAACTGGCAGGAGGTGACCGCCATGGTCCACGATGGGTGATATGTACCATGCCACAGCTGGTAGGAACGAGCTTCAACGAAGTGAAATCTGCGTGGCTGCAGCTCGTCGTCTCTACAGAACCTGAACAGTCATCTGCGCTGATAAAATTTGGTTGGGGGATGCACTCGAATAATAACGAACTCGCCTCGAAAAGGTAGGGAAAAAAAAAAGGATTTCGAGGTGCCTTCCATGCCGTCAGATGGAGTAAAACCACCAGCTCCACCCAAATGTGGTTTCAATCGTCCCTCACAATATTCGGGGGCGACCTCCGCAGTCAGTGACGGCGCTTGTGTACGCCTTATGGCAAGCTAGCACAAGCGGGATTCTCGCACCTGAGACGTACGCTCAAAGTATCGACCGTTTGATGAACGAGGTAGGCCAGCGAAAAAGATATCCCTTTTAGACGCAAACCCGCGCGTTCGCCTACAACATTTGCGCCGGTGAGAATCACTATGGTCGACGACGGTAGTTCTCAAACTATAATTTGAATCAATATGTGTGAACACCGAGGCAGGACGAAATTGTATAGCGCACCATCTGGTGAATGAATAAATAGTAAGAGATTCATTCCAGCGTCTTTGGTCTAGCGGACACTCCAACAAACTTCCTGCGGCTACTGGTAATGTATAGGCAGACCCACGGAAGAACTGAATTGGACTCAACAAGGACTTGGAGGGTCGATACATACATACATTATCCAGGGAGCAGGGATGTGAATAGCGGCGCAAAACAAAAGGAATTGAATGTTCAGGGATTCGAACCCCATGCCTCCAACAATTGTGAGACCAGATGATGTGAGCATCGTGGTCGAAGATGGCTGCAGATACTGCGAATTACACCGTGTGTGTGTTGGCCATTGGAGTGCGAAGCATGCAGATAGTGAGTGTGCGCCTTTCCTTGCTGCGCTGTGGGGGTCAACACAATTCTCCCAGCGACGCGGACGTACAGCTATAAACACGCAGCGAAAAATGCAGCTCGCAGAAGGAAGAAAAAAAGGCTGTTATGGCATATGAGTATAAGAAGCGCGCTGCTCTGTGGTTCAGTTGAAGTTTTCCCTGGACGAGGACGTACAGCTATAAATGAGCAGAAATAACCTCGTCTACACAATTGGATACCATGCACGGGAGTTGAACCCGGGGTCCCCGCGGCGTCCATAGACGGAGAAGAGAGCGCAGCCCACCATGGTGTGTGGGTAGCAAACAGTGATGCTGTGAGTGCGGTGAGAATTGCCAGAGATGTTACGCGATTGGGTGCGTCGAGTAGATCTGGAGCCAGGGCAATGGAGAGCCGGCGCAAAAGCACATAGAGCTAAAAGCCGGGCGAAAGGCACAAGGCCCTGATGGCCAACGAGATCCGGACAATGGGGCAACCAAGCGCAACGGAACAGAATAGATAGAGGCGGGTTTGCTATGAGCAACGACTGTGATAGCGTAATATTGCTGATAGATAGGCGAACGAGCGCAAAGGAACAAAAGAGAGCCTGGCTAATCCACGACGATGATCCTTGTTGTCAACCCAGTGTTGTGCGAATCGCGAGTGTATCCGAATTTTTCCATCGAGATGTCGGAGCTGGATGTCAACAAGTGGCGGAGACACGGTGGAGCGCACCAGGACGAGAAGATAACCTAGGGCATGCGGATGAGCATCGGACGATGCCGGCTGGCATGGTGGAGGAAAGGAAGAGGTGCGTCGCCGTGTGGTGTTGTTATCCATCAGGCGATGACGTTGCAACCGGCCGGCCCGGGTCCTTGCCGGCCCTTCTCTGTCTCCGTTCTCCTTCCAACGGACTTGCAAGTCGCCTTTATTTAGGGTTGAGATGCTTCGAATTCCCTGGAGCTCGATCCTCCGTTTTCACCTGCGTTCTTCCAGTTCCCGAGGCATGTGGTCACGATCCAGATCTTCTACGTTCTTCTGCTGGAGCGACTCGCCGCCAGCCTGCGTTCTCTCAACGTCCTCGTACCGCAAATCTGACGGTCTACTCTGTTTCCTTGTGACCCATCTGCCGCATGGATTCGGACGGTCCAAGCCCATATCCGTGCTCGCTACTGTGTCCGCGCTGGAAGAATCCCTGGCAGCATTGATTCTCCAGTGTGCAACGTTGCAAACTGCGGTTGAACAAGCTCTCGGACACTTTCATGCTTGTTCCGGCTATCCTCTAAAGCCCAGGCGCCCAGTCTGACCAGTCCTCTGGAAACACTCAAGTTTCACTCGCTCTGTCTTCTGGTCCGATCCGGTTCGACCGACTTGACTCAATGGCCGAATGGCTACAAGAATCCAGGATTCTGGGTGCCGCTATGTAATCGGCGGCTCTGCGTATCACTCGGCAGCAAGTAACCCGTCGCAAAAGCAAAATGGCTGAAATCCAATCCAAAACAGTCAGATGGTAGTCCATGCCTCGCAGGGGAGGAGGAGGAGGATTGCCTGTGCGGTCCCAAATTGAAACGAGGATTCACACCCACTTCCTTCATTTTATTCAGATGCCGCGTTGGCCAACGTGGTCCGTGAAGGCGTGATACAGCGTGTTTGATTGAGGAGATTTACGCCTCCTCTTTCTTCTGGCAGCCCATTCGAGAATTTGTCTGAAGTGTCAGTGTTGCCCGAATACGACGGAAGTAAAACTACCAAGGTGAAAAAACAAACGGAAAGTGGTGTTCGATGGCAAGGTGAAGGAAGAAAAAAGAGTCCGCAAGTTCTTTGCATGCCATCGGAGGGAATCGAACCCCGCTTCCTCTGTGCAGCCATACCAGCTTTGCTATTAACTTGAGGGAGTTGACCTCCATGGTCAACGATGGCATACAAAGTGAGGTGTTTGAACGGCGTGGAACACAACACAGATATTCCTCGTTCCCTGCCGACGCAGATATGAGCCAAGGTTGATGGGGCTGGAAAATGTCTCGTTTGACTCTCTCCTCTGTCAACTAAGTTGCCCCCAACGGCAAGCACGGGTGGCGCTAGACCAAAAAAAACTCGCGCTAGACCAGGACAATGCCATCGGAGGGAATCGAACCCTCACTTCCTCCATGTAGCGAAAGTGGTTCATCCCCCACTTGCAGGAGGCGACCGCCATGGTCCACGATGGCTGATATGTACCATGCCACAGCTAGTAGGAACGAACTTGCAACGAAGTCAAGATCTGCGAGGCTGCAGCTCGTCGTATCTGCAGAGCCTTATGAACTGTGTTGACATTTGATTACTTCATTTTAGCGAAGAGGTTACACCGGGGGAAGGACGAAACCACAGCGCAAAAACAACTGAGAGCTCCACGAAAATAATTTATGGCATTGAGCGGACGCCCTCGGATGGAGTTGAACCACCAGCTCCGCCCAAATGTGGTTACAGCACATCTTACATTTCGGGGGCGACCTCCGTGGTCAACGACGGTGCGTGTGTACTCCTTATGAACCGATCAATGGGAAATAGTATTGAGAACTCGGCACAAGCAATACTCACGAAATGTATCAGAAAAATGTTCGGCCATTCGCTGAACGAGGTAAGCCAGCTAAAAAAGATATATCTCGGAACTTCTCCCGGAAGCGGCCGGCGGGATACGAACCCACGCATTCAATGACAATACTAGTGCCGAGAATAGCCATGGTCAACGGCGCTGTTTCTGTCTATAATCTCGATCATTATGTGCGAATCAAGCGTGAATACAAAGACAGGCCGAAATTGTACGGCGCACCATCTTGTCGATGTGAATGAATGGATTGAAAGAGGATTATATTCCGGCGGCCCTGGGAAGCGCAGTGTGGGTGGGGAGACCACTCACGGCGCAAGATGTCCGGTTGATACCGGCACCGGTATGAGCAGACGCTAGGGTCCTGTTTATTATTCCCAGGGAATTATAAACAGTTTATAATCTTTCGTTTATAAACAGGCTGTTTATAAACGTGTTTATAAACCACACACCAAAATTGCTCCCGGGCCATCTGCACGAGTACCAAAATGGATTTTTTGCCCCCGTTGGTACAAGCGAAGCAACTTTGAGTAAGTTCCATCCTTTCGGACCCCAGAGAATGTTTTCTACCTCAATGATGGCCAGTTAATGGGCGCAGATCAGTAAGACAGGTCCTTCCGGCTCCAATTCATACCATTCTTTCAGCCCAAGAGATTTTTCCCTCACACTCATCAGGAAAAAACCTCCTTTCCTAATTTAGGGGTAATTTGGAACCGACCGTCAGATTAGGCCAAACCGGGGAAAATTAGGGAAAACGGTCAGATTCACCGGATTTCCCAGGTTAGCTTTTGCTAATGTGCGAAGATTGAACTGGGAGGCAGAGTTCGCCTTTTCTCGCGTTGTACTGTGATTGTACAACAGGCAGGGATGGAGGCGATGCATCCACACGGGTTTTCATTGAAAGAGTTAGAAGCAAGTTGGAAGAGAATTCTCCAAGTCCATTGCCGAGAGGTGTCGTAACAATGTCGTAAACACCGGCCCTAAGAGTTGCCGGGCATCACGTGGTGTTGGTTGACGTCTCTGTTTGGAAGACGATCAACACTTGTCAACAACTCTTCTTCCCTTTCCCCCATGTCGTCCTCTCCTCCCCCCACGCTCAGTCCTGTCTGCGACTCAAAAGCCTCTCACTTATTGCCTTTCCATGACAAGGTTCGTCCCCAGTAAGCTGTCCCAGATTCACTGGATGATTCAGGCTTTCAGTGCAGCTGCTCGTCGACGTGGTATCGTAAAGGGAGTGGTACCCTGGTGGATGTAGCGTGTGAGGGATGACCCGGCTCCGTGTCCGCCCTTGTTAGGTGAGTCCATGTCCGCCCTTGTTTGCGCACTTACATATGCGTGTTGCCCACGTCGTCTGCCCGTCTACGTAACGATTCCACTCATGTTGCCCTCCCATGCTTACACCTGCCCGACAGATTGGTACACCCTGACACTGGGTGGACTCACGATGCTCAATGGTAGCCATACCGGGTTACTGTCGTGGTCCCCACACCCCGTTGGCAATCACCGGTCAAGCGCTGCCCCGCCCCTCTCACGCGTTCCCCCGGCAGCTTCGGCTCATGTACGGCCCACCACTCCACTACACATACGTGTGTCGTCGGTGGAAACCATAGCTCCTCGCCCGCACTTCTCCCGTGAGTTCATGGTTATCTACTCCTTGACTTACTTACATATATACCTCGTGTGCGCAGCTGCACACGACAAAACTGCGTCGATGCGACTGCCCGCGGTACGCCGGGTCGGTACGGATACCGTTCTCGTGCTCGCCCTGTTGGCACCATCGATGAAGCGCGCACTTGCTGTCGCGCCGGCGACTTCTGAACTCCGGGGTTTATTTTCTTGCGGTCGCTATTCTTGCTTCGTACATCCTCGTTGCTTGGGCCGTCGCCAATGTAAGTCCGTTTCAATCATCATTCAGTCTTCGTTTGCTGACCTACATCTCGTTTAGCTTCTGCATTTTGTTTGATGTGTCTGGGCGGTGGGCTGCTGAGGTTCATTCGTAGGTTCTCTTGTAGCTACAACCTGTCCGTAGATAGCTTGCCCAATACAGTGTTTTCCAAGATCTTTTTGTCCCATCCCCAAGCAACGCGAAGCAAATAGGACAGCTAACCTGATGCCAAACCCCGCGAACGTGAGGTAAATTAGGATTTTTTAGTGGTAATTTACTTTCAAGGTCCAGAAAAAGCTAATGCTCCTAACCGAACTTTTCTGGCAGTTTTGGACCTTTTTTTGGGGTAATCTGGCCTGATTCCCAAAGGAGGTCTTTCCTGATGCTGTTGGGCGCCAAAGAAGATTTGACCACCTAAAAGATGAGTTTCAGTCCAAATTTCCCGCCGGTTTCTCCCCCGGGCCGAGCCCCCGGCTCTTTATAAACAGGCGGTTTGACCCAAAGATTATAAACCGTGTTTATAAACCGCTGTTTATAAACCGGTTTATAAACACGATCAATAAACAGTACCCTAGCAGACGCGGGAGGACTCAACAAGGACTTAGCAGTGACGTGAATGGCGCCTCAAACCAAACGACGGTGGTTCATCGGCCATGCCACCCGAGGGAGTCGAACCCCGTGCGTCCGTCCTGATTTACACGAATTGCATTCGATCCAAATATAGGAAGTGATCCACGATAGCTTGAGATACTGCGAATTACACCGTTAGCCTCGAAATGTCAAGCCTGCGGATACTAGTACTGAGTGCACGTTTCCCTGGGGTGGGGTCTGCTTACTTGTTCCAGCGACGCAGACGTACAGCTGCCAATGGGCAGCGAAAAACGCGGCTGGCGGATTCACTGCGTTCCGACCCCCAGTAGACCGACTTTGTCTACAGTGTGGCTACGTTCGGCTACCTCGGTCTACGTCTGGCTACATCTGTCTACAGGGGGTCGTAGACGAATGTTGGTCTATGTTCGGCTACGTTCGGCTACATTTGGCTACGTTCGGCTACCCCCCTCTGTGTACCTTTGTCTACCTCTGTCTACATGTGTCGACTGACCGTAGCCCAAGATTGAGAAATACAGGAATTTTCATTGAGCATGTTGAAAATTGCAGTCTATCCCTCGGTCTACATGGTTCGAGCGTATGTCTACGTCCGTCTACCCCTGTAGACCGAGGTAGACAGACCACAGAAACCGAGGTAGACATAGGGGTCAGTCTACCCCCTGTCTACCTCAGTCTACGTGCCTCGGTCTACACTGTGTCTACTGGGGGTCGGAACGCAGTGATTGCGGAGAAAAGCATCCTCCGGTCTCATTATACTACGCGCGGGAGTCGAACCCGGGTTCCTGGCGGTCAACCGTTCTCAGGTAAGAGTCAGAGAGGAGAGCGCAGCCCACGATGGCGTGTGGGTAGAGCTGTGACTCTATAAGCGCGGTGAGAATTGCAGTGAGATGTTGCGTCATTGGGTGCGTCGAGTAGATCTGTAGCCGGGCCAACAGTGAGCACCTGCGGCGGCGAAACACAGAACACCCAGACAGCCAACGAGATTCTGACGCAACTGAGCAGACAGAGGCGAGAGGTGCCAGGTGGATTACGATAGGCGTCGTTGTAGTAGGCTAGCAAGCGCAAAGGACCAACAGTGGTTTGAATCGCCAGTAGAATAAGCTAGGTCATCAGGCAACGTTGTTGAGGCGATGTTATGCGAATAATTGCGAGCCATTCGGCGATTCGAGGGCGATTCGAGGGCGGCGGGCGGCTCGGAGTCCAATCGGAGTCGAGCTGGATTCCCGCGAGTTACGGACGTACATCGGTAGGGAGCACTGCGTATCAGCAGGAGACAACGTCACAGGTCGTCCAGTGCAGGCAGATGTGCATGGGACGATGCTCGCTGCTCATGCTGGTGGAAAGGAAAAAGGAAGAAGGGCATGTGGTTTGTAATGCAGCATCGCTGATGATTATGCATTATTGCCTAGTCACTTCCCCGTGTTCCCGTTTCAACCCTGCCAAGTCGCCATTGTGCCGCATTCAGATGCTGCGCTGGAGCTCATTTTGCTCTTTGACTTACCAAGCCCCCCTCTCGCGATTCAGATCTTCTCAGAATCTCCGTTCTTCTGTGGTGTTTCTCCCGGCTGATAGCGGCGACCAGCCTGTGCTCCCCCAGCTGGGCTCATCTGCCTGTACGGACATGTGTCCGCGCCGGATGACTCTTCTCTTTGCACCGTCGTTTGACCGTCACAATTGCGGTTCAGCAAGCTCCTCTCCGCCTTGTCATCGGTCACTCCCGCTTGCACACGGCCACAGCCTAGCATGTTCCATCTACTCGCTCAGCCCTCTGGACACAACCAAGTTCTATTCACTGTCCGGAGGTCCGACGTAGTATCCGACACTTTGACTGAGTGACTGGAGCGGGACAGAACTTGGGAGGGAATTGTGAGTTGCACCAATTGGATCGTTGTGAATGTTTAGCATCACATGGAGGAAGCGGGGGTTCGATTCCCTCCGATGGCATGGTGAGCTTGCAAGATGTTTTTATTAGGCGCTGCCAGGTTTGCCACTAACATGAGGTGACCGCCGTGGCCCACGATGACTGATATGTACCGTGCCGGAGGTTGGCTAGAACGAAGTCAACGAACTCTTCTTGATATCTGGGGGGCAGCACGTCGTATCTGCAGAAGGTGAGCCGTCACCTGGCT